TTCATCTTTGCGTTTGTGATTATTGTCGGCAAAATTGGAGCTCTCTTCTGAGCTTTTAAACGAACAATACCATGCTCACACGTGTGTTAAACCAGAAAATCCACCTGACAATTGTATTCAAAAGAATCAATGCTGACTCAAATCATCTTGTAGTATGACTTAGAAAAAGCCTAAAATTTTATGTTCATTCAATAAATGAATTCTTTGTCATTGTTAGCATGGAAATAATAGGACAAAAAGAAACAATTGAAAATGCTTAACTAAGTGAGTGAAAATGTTTTTTTTTTTTGTGTGTTTTTCCCATGGCATCGTCATTATATTTGTTTTTTTCTCCTAAGTTTAAAATTAAGTGAAATGCAGTAACCCCATTATGCAATTCTCGATCATCTGATTTTTTTTTTGCCTCATTTGCTAAAATGACGCTAAAAATATAGCCCCGGTTCCAAATACAGGTATATTTGTCAAAAAAATTAAATTCATGAATGCAGAAAAATAATCATAGATAATATATATATTAATTAAAGTTAATGAATTCAAATGAAAATGAAGTACATTTCTGCAGATACATGTATTATAGGGTAGTAAAAATTGAAAAATATTAAAATAACTCTACTGTTTACCATGTCTCCACGTGTTATTCGCTTCGTAGTCACTTCTTACTCATATTTCCGTGAAAAATTTACCCTATCTCGTCGTATGGCTGAATTTCGCCAGAGGTACTGCCAAAGCTACTCCTCTGAACTAAATAGATATGAAGTCAAAATACTATATGACGACGAGGCACTGCATACCGAGAGATGAGATGACGGTGGAAGTTTAATAACTTTTACATTGCCTTCACAGAGGGTAGATTCCCCCTTTTGTTTTTTAATTTACCTGAAGCCATTGTTTTCACTTTTTATGCTCCTATGATGTGTTATTGTGTTGGATTTGCGGTTTAACATCTTTATTTCTTTAGCTTGTACGATATGCAAATATTCAAACAATTACAAAAAAGTAAATGTGAAACACTCCCCTTACACGACCGTAGACAGAAGTAGAATTTGATGATTGTGTATGTGTTTCATTGTGACCAGTGATCAATAAAGATAAATCGAAAATTTTCAGTGTAAATCTAAAAAGAAATATGTTTTCTAACGGCATTCTAATTTTATGTGAAATTTATCCTATTTTGTAAAAAAAAAAAAAAAAAAAAAAAAAATACCCCTCTTTTCTGGGTAAGTAGAATTTATCGTAAAATGTCTTCTTCAGAAGTAAATTAAAATTCAGACTTGTTCATCAGCACGTTATATGTATCATAGATCACAAAAGGTATTGCTTTGTGTATCAAACTTTACTCAAAAATATTGTTTTGCTAAAAACTCTTTAAACTTGTGCCGATGCATTTCTTAAGCAACATTTAGGATTTCAATGATGTCCGTTTCGAGATCATGAGAGTCATGTGAATCACAAAAATGATTTATTACCCTGTCTGATTAAATTCTCATCTCAGATTAACTACAAATTCATACAATAATTGCATATTGAAATTATAATCTTGTTCATAATAAAATGGCAGGGGTAATAAGGAAGCATTCATAATATTTTTACTGGACTAAATCAGTGATGTATTATTATATTATCATACATGTAGTAGGCAAGATGACGTCAATATTTTAAGATAAGTTTTCGTGATATTGGTATGTAGAGATGTACTTTATCTTCAGAAAATGAATAGAAACATGAAAACATTAACAAAAATAAAGTCTTTCTATTTTGTTATGCAGTATCTGTCATTTGGATTAAAATTGACAACCGATGACATCATAAGTTTGCATCAAGTTACTTGATAATTATGTCTTTCCACTTTCCGTGGAAAGCCCTCTTGAAATGCTTATGTTTATTATTACGAGGGTTGTCCCGTAAAATCGTGGACATAACGTTTTTTCTCGAAAAGTAATGGGCGCACTAAGCTGAACATTTCAGTAAATGTTTATTTATCATATTTAAGTGCATGATAATTTTTTTGATAAAATATAGGCAAAAATAAAGATTTTATTATGTTTGAATGTGCACGGGGTATTGTCTTACGGCGCACTGTCAAAAAACCAAGGTTTTATTTAAAAATACACAAGTTTGAAATCAAAAAAAAGTTTTAAATACATAAGATTTGGATTAAAGTTATCCTAATTCAATTCCACAATCAATTTTGTAGTCTTTGTAAAAAAAAAAAAAAATTAAGGCATTTGGTTAATTTTTGGCAGTTTCTCGAGTATTCAAAAATAATTTAATTCTGGTTGTAACGCTGTATTTGATTGGATAAAAAATTATTTTATATTGTATAAAATGGGTTGCCTACGTCACAATGACTTGCGTCAGAAACGTATTAATCCGCCTGACGTTACATTCAAAATTTGTACAAATTGAATTCATTTTGTTTGTACAATAATCGTTTTTTCTTACATTAAATGAATGAAAATTAAATTATAAGGAATGAATTTAATGTAGCTACCCATTCTATACGGTATAAACTGGGTTGGAACAGTTTACACTCGCGGTTTATAAAGCGTAAACTGCCCCAACCCAGTTTATACCGTATAAAATGGGTAGCTATTAAATTCATTCCTTAATGGGAAAGTGGTAAATACGGAACACGAAAAATGGCGACGTTTTATGCACTTACGGCGCACCGGAGAGCAGTTCAATTCTATTTCGATTTTGTAATGACACCTTTAGAGACTTGTAATGACCATAGAAGAAAAAAGATTATAAAATATCACCATATCTTAAGTAAACAAATGAAATAGGAGTTTTCTTAGCGAAGTATTTTTTTGATCGAGTCTCTGGGGAATACAAAACATACGGACAAACTCCTAATGTAATAGCAAAAGACGCTGTCACAGTAGACCGCCGATATGAAATTTTTCTATTAGTTGAATGATGGTTAGAATATTGTCCGTAAATTACTAATAAATCTTCAGAAGATCGCATGAGGGTGCCAATTGCTTCTTCGACTGCTTATGGAGACTTAAGAATGCACACCAATGAAATTCCTAAATTTAAGTCGGACTTATCCAACTTCATTTTCAGCAAAGATAAAATGTGACACTGTTTTCGACACTTTGACGTTATAATCCATGCGCCGTAAGCTAGGTGATACAATACATGACATAAAATCTAATAATTTGTTTATTTATGCATATATTTATCTGAAATTTGCTGTGTATATTACTAACACATGTACTAAATAAAAGTGAAAATTTCATAAAGCAGTGATGTTTATTCTTCACACTAGACAACTTGTCCACGATTTTAAGGGACAATTCTCGTATTTTTCTGTTATGGTCTTTTGAATCAAAAAACTTAATGAGAAACTTTTCAATTTATAATACTGAATATCAAAAGTTATTCGGAAAAACTACCCAAAGAGTATGACTTATGATCCCTATCGGGGTTCTTCCCCCTTTTACGAAAAAAATTGTTATTACTCCTCTTCCGAAACTCTTAATCTAAGAGGTGCGAAACTTTCACTGATTTCTTTGACTTCTTGCGACATTAATTTTGCGGAAGTATTCGTTGACCCCTTCAATGAGTTATTGTCCCTGAAAGTTTTTGAATTTTACAAATAATTAAAAATTTTCAAAATGAGAAGTCGTAGAGACATGGGACTAACTGCATAAGATTTCTTGACCTTTGACATTAAAATTTTTGTAAAGGTCAAGGTCATTCCAAAAATGAGAAATTAAGCATTTTCTATATCTCTTTTGTCTTTTAACATATACTTAATGTCTTTGCATCATTAATATGTACTCTTAAAACTACTTCAAAGATTTCATTCTTGTCCCCTAAGATTGACCGTTTTAAAAGTTATTGCCCCTAATGCGAAAAACAATGTTATCGCTACTACTTCAAAACCGTAGACCATAGACGCACAAAACCTTCACTTATGTCTTAAGGGTCTTTAGGTACACCTTCAATGTATAAATGCGAAAGGATCTGGTGACTCCTTATAAAAGTTATTGCCCTTTAACTTCTTTGCGCATAATATCAAACCTTATCACTTAAGAACTAAAAATTTTAGAGGCACTGGGCCAATAACAGTGTGATCATTGACCTTTGACCTTGAAATTTTTTTCAAGGTCAAAGGTCAAGGTCATTTCTAATTTTTTAAAATTTTCATTTTTCTATCCTTTAAGCACTTTTGGTTTCTTTTCCATGGTATTTAATTTTGAAATGTTAGATATTAAACAAAATTGAACTGAAAAGAAGGTGAAACCTCTTTTTGTTTTTGGACACGTTGTAGAGAAATTAATTATTATTGATAAAGCACATTTTACAACAACTCTTTCAACAACTATTTCATTACAACGTGTATTGGAAACAATCCTCTGTTAAAACAAATGTCCAAATAGTTTTATTCTCAATGACCGTGTAGTGTAGGACAGCGCCGCGAGAATTCCATCAGCATCGAAAGCAAGTTTTTTGACTTGCCTAGATAGCCGAGCGGTCTAGCGCGCTAGCTGTTCCTGTACTGCTAGGAGACAGATTCCGAAGGTCGAGAGTTCAACCCCGGGCTGGGGCGGAAGTTGGTATCCATATAAAAGCGAATTTCTTTGTGCTTTCCATATTAATATTTCTTCACTTAGGACAGTTATTTTAGTTGAAGAGTTGTTGTAAAATGTGCTTTATAAATAATAATTAATTTCATTACAACGTGTATTGGTAACAATCCTCTTTTAAAACTAATGTCCAAATAACTGTATCTCACTTCTATTCTCAATGACCGACATACCGGTATATATATATGTGTGTGTGTGTTTATGTATTTTACATTTGAGCTTTCTGACAGCCTTACTATAACTGCGAAAATCAGCTGTGCTCCAATTATTGAATTACTATCTTTTTATCGAAAAAAAGTTTATTGTTATAGGCTGCATGGAAGCTTAAGGTTATTTATCCCGATGAAATATATTAGTGGACTTTGCATGTAATATGTTTCTATTTCAAGTCTTGTATTTAAGGGTTTCCAGTCTTGAATACCAATACCACAGATTATGATAAATCGTCACATGAGGTACAGAAGATCCTGATTCATGTCTGCCTGCAGGGGTCGTTTTCAAGGCCAGGGGGATACTGCATGTGCTTCTTTCTCATTCTCACATGTTCGATGGTACTTCTTTTCTAAATATATACATGTATTGTGAATATTTCATTATCTAATCGAATTTGCCATTTCTATATGAAATACAATACATGTTTAACTTAATTGCATCACCATTCTGAAAAAAAAAAATAATGTGTTTTATAAATTAATGAAGGATTTCTTTAATTATATAAATTTAAGATTTGTTTACACATTGTTTCTCTTCTGAATTAACCCACGTTTACCTTTGCTGTGGTTTTAAGCGGCAATGTATAAAATTGTTGAATGTCATTTTCATGAAGCTCACGTATAGAAATACATGTATACACGGATATGTTTTTATTTATTGTATACATGTTGTTTAACGTCCCTCTCGAGAATTTTTCACTCACATGGAGACGCCACCACTTGACGGTGGAGGGTACAATTTTTTTCTTATGCTCGGCACCTAGGGCCTTTGAGCAGAGAGGGATCTTTTTCGTGCCAGCACCTACTTCGACACGGGACCTCGATTTATACGGTCTCATCCGAAGGACCGGACCACGTCTCACAGTGGGATTTGAACCCTCGACGTAAGAATTGACTCCTTACTTAGCGACTCTAGAGCAGACGCTCTAACCATGGATATGTTTTTAAGTGATGCTAGAATGAGGCTGCAAAGACGTTGATAACACTATAATGATTTAGGCCAGCAAGAAATCAATATTTAACCATTTTTTTGTGTTTAAGGGTGCTCTAAGCACTGCACACTTACAAGTTTTATTAATGGGTATATTTTTGAACATTAAAGTGATATTGCCTTAGAAGTATGATAAGAAAAAAATGGTATTTATAGTTAATTGAACAATTTATGTTGAATTGAAATATTCTTAACATTATATTAAACCTAGAAGAAGTGTTTGATTTCATTCATAATTTCCTTTTATTTACCCAATGTAAGTAAATAAAAGTGATTTCTGTTCACAAATAGTCCTCTGTCTTTTCTGCGGAAAGAAGACAGTACCAATTGATGAAAATGAATAATCCCAATACCCAACCTTGATATGAAATATTTTTCTCCAAATCCTAAAAAAAAATTTTCTGTTAGTGCTTAGCGCCTACTTAAACATGTAATTTTAAGGTTTTTTTTCAAGTTAAGTATGAGTTATTTTTGTGTTAATCACACATTCTTGTCATTTTTCATAAAGTGCTCCTTGTAGCTCGCCTTCATGACATGCGTGTGTGTGACATACAAACCAATAACTGACTTCAAACATTTAAAAATTCATTAAATAATCACACACACACACACACACACACACACACACACGAAAAAAAGAAACCATGATTAATTCTCAAACTTCAGGTGGTTGTAGATGGAACCCAATGGCAATGTGAAGTATCACTCACAACAATAAATTTTACTTCGATCTGCCCAACAAATGAAATAGATTACATCAAACGTTCAAAGGAGAAAAACTGTGAAGATATTCAGCAAAACTGTACGACAAATTCCAATTTCAAATATCATTGTGTTATTGATACAACTGGGTCGAATTTCATTGAAGTGTGTGCTCCTCAGAGATTTATTTTTGGTAAGAATTGTAAGCATGTTTATCTTAATAAATGTATTAGACTAATAAGAAATTTGAGTATCAGAGATTCTTTAAAATAGAGATATTTTGGTCAGTAAGTAGATTGGTAAGTAGCTTAATGAATTTTAAAAAGAACAATTAATCATTTGATAACTGTTAACTTTTACAAACCTCTTCACAAAGAATTTAATTCAAAATCTGGAAAAAAAAATGGTTATCCTGAGTGTTGCGCTTGAAACTAATGAAATAGAGAAAATCTGTTTTTGTGATCAATATCCTGCCAGTTGTGTATGATTTAAACGTTTTCTAAAATTCATTATAATAATTTATGGCATTTTCTTAAACAGAATATAATAGAAATTACCTTGTTATATAGTTCTTAATTTCATTTTTTTATATCTCTTATAGGTCATTATTGTACTGAGTTTAATAAAGGAGGAGCAAGAGTACAAGAACACTATGGATATGGATGCAAGCAGTTTAACGAAAACCCTTGTCCGGAAGCATATCCTTCGTGGAAATGCTACGAGTGTAATGTTTACATTTATGTTATTACATATTGTTTGAGGATAACTGTCTTAAAATTACGTATTTGCAAACTCTAATGCTTATTGAACGGTTGCAAGATGAGTTGAGCCTGTGACATGTTTTCGGTACCGATAAGACGTATTAATGCTTTTACCTTTTGAGTATGATTAACAGTCGCAAAAACCAAAAAAAAAGAAGTATATTTTATTTTTACCTCATTTTCTTCATCTCCATTAATCTGTTCGTGTTATGTTGTTAAAGCTGAACACGACTCGATATCATTATCTAAAATACATGAACACAAGAGTATACTTTTCAGATTCGTCAATTTGACTGCTTTATTGTTTCGGGTATCGGCGTGGAACGGCGACCCGTGTTCGAGCTGGTTATCTTGCATTTACCTTTGTTTACATTTTATCGCAGTTACCCGATCTGTGTATGTTTGTATACTGCACCTACCTGTATAACTACTGTAAAGGCCGGTATTCACGGTAAGATTTGTATTATAAGATTTGTATTATAATACACAGTCTTATTGTGTATACACTCTTAATACAGTGTATCATAAGATTTTTCAAAACTTACAAAAATGTATTAATAATAAAGCAATGTTCTATTTCCTAATAAAAGTCTTAACTTACCTTTCACTTTCAACCAATGAAATGAACTGACACTAGGGGTCGACCTATTTTTATCATTACTAAAAAAGCATATGGTAGGTAATAATAGTCGACTTAACAAGTAAAGACGTGGAAACACTCGTGGTTTTATGGAAAGGGGAAGAGGACTCGTGGAATAGATCAAGCAGTGCATAGTGCGTTGATAGACTGCTATCAGAACCTCATCCTCCATTTTTTTTATTTTGACAGAGACAGAAATATGGCGGGGAAAATACGTAGGAATACGTGGTTTATTTACAATCTTATAAGATATGTATTAGCTTGAGTACAAGAAAATATTACAATACAAAAGTATTATAATACTTGTATTATACTACAAATCTCGTCTTATATATACCTGCCTTAATTTTTTTTGCGAGAACATTATTTTAGCGTAATTACACGAGGCGGTGGGCTGGCGAAAATTAAATTCTCATGTATAATAGCATTTCTTAAGATCATATAGAGCAATAACCACAGTTCGTGAAAATTTCGTGATTACACTGAACAGTGACAAAGTCCTGCCATTTATATAGACCTCTGCAGGTATAACAATTCCCTATACTAAAATGGCAGTTCAATTATTTTCTGAATCGTGTTCAGCTTTAAGTTTATATTAACAAATACGTCATTAAGTTTTTATCCCGCTATATAACGAAATCACAACGAAAAAATTTCTTTCTTGTAATAGCTAATTTTACTTCAGCAAAGCCAATGCATACATGTAAGTCTTGCCTATCAAAATGCAATTTAAAAAAACAGATGCTTAAGAAGTGCTTTAAATGCTGTTTGCATGCGTTGCTGACTTTCATTTACATTTTTAGTACTGTTTTATTTATATTTTTTTAACAGTAAACCAATTTTTGTTTTTAGGTCACCTGAGTAACTCAGGTGACCTATTGCTATCCGTTTTCGTCCGTCGTCGTGCGTTGTGCGTCGTGTGTCGTGTGTAAACATTTGAACATTTTCAGCTTCTTCTTTGAAACCACTGAACCAATTTTAACCAAATTTGGTATACAGCATCTATGGGTAAATAGGAAAAAAAATTGTGAATTTCATGGTCCCCGCCTCCCATGGGGCCTGAGGGGTTGGGCCAAAACCACTAAAATTATTGCAATCTTTAGAACTCTTCTTCTTTACCCCTGGACATCAAGCAGGCAAACTGTTGGCATGAATGTAATGAGCATTGGGTCCTCTACCAAAATTGTGAAATTCATGGCCCCAGGGTCAGGGGTTCTGGTGTTAGGGCGGGCTGTATAGATTATATAGTAAAAATGCATTTATTCCTTGAAAATCTGCTCCTTGGTATTAAATAATCTAACTAAGCACATAGTTATGATGAGGAAGAGTGTCTTCCAGATTTGTGAATTTTATGGCCCCAGGGTAAGGGGTTCTATTAGGGTGGGGCTCTATTGATTATATAGTGTGGGGCTCTATTGATTATATAGTGAAAATGCATTTATTCAAATCTTCTTCTCTACTCATGGGTATTAAATAAACTAACTGAGTACATAGTTATGATGAGAAAGAGTTCCTCTTCCAGATTTGTGAATTTTATGGCCCCAATGTCAGGGGTTCTGGTGTAAGGGCGGGGCTCAATTGATTATATAGTGAAAATGCATTTATTCTTTTAAAATCTTCTTCTCTACTCCTAGGTATTAAATAAACTAACTGAGTACATAGTTATGATGAGAAAGAGTGCCTCTTCCAGATTTGTGATTTTTATGGCCCCAGGGTCAGGGTTTCTGGTGTTAGGTGGGGCTGTATTGATTATATAGTAAAAATGCATTTATTCCTTGAAAATCTTCTTCTCTGCTCCTGGGTATTTTATTATCTAACTAAGCACATAGTTATGATGAGCAGGAGTGCCTCTTCCAGATTTGTGAATTTTATGGCCCCAAGGGTCAGGGGTTCTGGTATAAAGGCGGGGCTGTATTGATTATATAGTACAAATACATTGATTCTTTGAAAATATTTTCCTTTGCTTCTGTGTTTAATACCAATGATCCAAGTACATATAAATTTATGATGAGGAAAGGTGCATCTAGCAAAGTGGTTTTTAATGCCCCCTGGGTCAGAGGGAGGGGGGTTACATATTCTAAAAATAAATTAATGCTTTGAAATCAGCTCTTTGGATTTAATCAACCATTTTATGATGAAATTTTCTAAATTTTGAATAATGTGGCCCCTGAGTCAGTGGTTTCCTTTGGGTGAGGTGCACAACTGGGTATAAAGTGGAAGTGCATTTTCTCTTTGTTACTCTGATCTACCTTTGGGTATTAAGTAAATAAAGTAAGCATGCTAAGTTGATAATTATGATAAGCAATGGTGCCTCTTTCAAAATTGTGAATTTCATGGCCTCTGGTTTAAAACACGAACCAAATTTAATTGTTTGAAAGTTGTTACACAATACTCAGGTTACCTATAAGGCCCGTGGGCCTCTTGTTACATTTAATGTTTTGCATTCACATCGATTTTCCAATGAAATGTCCCTTAATATAGGCTTTCAATACTTGATATCGCGATTAATCAACTCTGCGGAACTCTTTCGCGATGGAGATAGGAAACGTCTGTTTGATTGGGACAAATATGCTATTAAATACAATGCAAGATCGGTCAATGTAGAGCTTATAAGGATTGATAAGTTAAAAATCCTAATGGAATACATTGCTTAATTATCGCTGAACCAGCTTGATTAATTTTTGAGACGAGCTGATCCTAAAATGTTTCATTTTTAACGATAAATTTTAACTAAGCGGACTCTTCTCATAAATTTTTCATTGAAAATCGTCAGACTTTAAAACTGAAAAAAATATTCTAATCTTTCCTTAGCTTACAATATTATGGTGGCATATTTCTGCCCCTTGTGTGCAAGTTATTTTTCTATCAAATATGTCGACATGCAAGATAGATATGTTGACATGCAACATAGTTATGTCAACATGCAACATAACTAAGTTGACATGCAAGAAAATTGCAATCAAATAAATATTATAAAAAATTTTCAAAAATCTCAAATATGGCCCACATGTGACATCAAACATGCTAGATGTTACTTATTTATGTTAACATGCAAGATAAATATGTTGACATGCAACTTATTTATGTTGACATGCAACTTATTTATGTTGACATGCAACTTATTTATGTTGACATGCAACTTAGTTATGTTGACATGCAACTTAGTTATGTTGACATGCGAGATAAATATGTCGACATGCAACTTATTTATGTTGACATGCTACTTATTTATGTTAACAGGCAAGATGAATATGTTGACATACAACTTATTTATGTAAACATGCAACATATTTATGTCGACATGCAACTTATAAGTTGCATGTCAACATATTTATCTCGCATGTCAACATAAATAAGTTGCATGTCGACATGAATAAGTTGCATGTCAACATAAATAAGTTGCATGTCAACATAAGTAAGTTGCATGTCAACATAAGTAAGTTGCATGTCGACATAACTAAGTTGCATTTCAACATAAATAAGTTGCATGTTAACATATCTAAGTTGCATGTCAACATATTTATCTTGCATGTTAACATAAATAAGTAACATCTAGCATGTTTGATGTCACATGTGGGCCATATTTGAGATTTTTGAAGATTTTTTATAATTTTTATTTGATTGCAATTTTCTTGCATGTCAACATATTTATGTTGCATGTTGACATAGCTATCTTGCATGTCAACATATCTATCTTGCATGTCGACATATTTGATAGAAAAATAACTTGCACACAAGGGGCAGAAATATGCCACCATACAATATACTTTTTGGAGTCCAATTCTTGGCAATACATTGTACATTTGGCATTAAATTGATCGAATCATTTGATTTTTACTACTGTAAACTATGGCATGTATCCCCAAAATCTAGAGCTTTCTCGACTCTCCCGCAAAAGATCGGTAGTAAGTTATATAACTCCGAGGTACTTTCGATAGTACGTATTGGAAATTAATTTCTTATATTAAAAACATTCTGTTCAATAGATGTATTATTTTAAAACAAAGTTTTGATGGAATAGAAGATTTAACTGAAGAAAGATAAACTTTTTTGATGCAAATAAAAAAGGTTTCCAGTATTTTCAATTTTCTTGCCAAATTACAAGTAGAACTTTAATAATTATATATTAGACATATCAAACAACAAACATCAGCAAGAGCGCTGTAACTTGCATAAGGCAATAACAACATATCATGACCCGAAAGATAAGGGAGTATATCGTTTTACATTTCGCAGCACAGTTAAGGTTACAAAAAGGAGGCGGAGCCTAATTTGTACGGGAAAACTTGACTATGACATCATACACAATATACGTCATACAACATTTCTTTAAAATACCACAAAATGAGTTTATCTGCTAATTTAACCAGTAAGATATCATCAAACTACATAAAAACTTACTACAGCGTGTTGTTTTGTCGTTAGTTAAATCCCACATTACAAGTTATTAACAAGTCACTGATCGCAATACACTTGTCGATATGACGTCATTTATTACAACGTGACGTAGTCTGTATGCAGTGAGAGACAGATCAAGTAATATTTTCACAGCAAAATATATATTCTTTAATTAAATAAAATATTATTTACAGATATTCTATGGGACAATAACTTGAATATAATGTCTTCTTCACTATTTTATTGATACATTTTCTGCACATTACGTATTTAATTGACACTGCCGTATATTTGTATACAAGTACATCGGAGGGTAATGTGGGGGGTCTTATTAAATCGATCTAGTGCAAGGGCATACACTCTATGGATCAAAGTAAGCTTTTACATTTCAACTATAGAACTAATAAGGTATCTGAAAAGTGCTGCGATCCTGATGAAATCTTAAAAACAATTTAATTATATCAATATTTCATGCCGCTGACCAGCAAAAAATATAGCATTCGGTCATACAAGTATAATTTTAACAATGCAATTGCAGAATTTAGACAGGATCGCAGCACTTTTCAGAAACTACAATGCTTTTTGAAAATATTTATATACTAAACTTGGAAATTTATCTTGGTTATGCCCTTGCACTAGTGATATTTATATGTAACATCAATACTTTAAATCAATGTGCTAAAATCCCGTGACTGCCGCATCACGTGACTAGTCTAAATATAAAATATAATCGTCCTCGATACATAGTTATTAATCATAATTACAATTATCCAATACAAATGTTGTACTAAAAATAATCGCCATCCCGATTACGAATACATTTTTAAATACAAAATTTAGTCGATATTTCCATTGCGCACCTTAACTGTACTGCGTTGTGTGGCTTTCTTTTTTTCTGTCTGTAAGAAAATTTGGTCTCAACAACTCATTACAGATCCTTGAAATTTAAGCAGATTATTTTCTAAGGCATGTGGATGATGGGATTTTTTTTATTCAAATGCGATGTCAAATTCCTGTCGAGCCATGCGTCTGCCCATTTCATACATTTTTACATTTTCGTCGTTGTTTTCTCATTAACAAGTCATTGCATGAAATTTCTAAATGAACACCATATGATTAAATATATTAGATTCATTATAGTAGAAATCCCTGTCAACTTCCTGCTTATCTGTTTGTCTAACGGTATCATACATAACACATTTTGTCGATGTTTTTTCAACAACTACAATGTAGCTTGTACCTTGTACAATGTACCTTGTAGATGCTTCGATTTTTTCCCACATTGATTGCTGATAAATGCTGTATGGTGGAATTCATTTCTGTTCAAATGCAATGTTAACAGTTTGTTAAATTGTGCATCTGTCTGTTTCAATCATTAACGAGGCTGGGGGGTGGCAGCCATTTTTAGACTATTTCAATCTCCTTTAAAAGGAGAGCTCCATATAAAGATATACGAAAATGATCAAATTTTAAAACTAAAATCTTTGAATTTCTTCTTTGTCAAATGATAGTTGACAGCTAAAGATACCGTATCTAAAAAATAAGTTAAATCTGGTGGTTAATTTGGAATTAATTTGTTGACCCACCAGCCTCCTTAATTTTCGTTACATTTTTCAAATTTGCGGATGTTTGAAATTTTAGTAGTACTTTGTAGAGTCATGTTATATAGTGATTTTTGTGTTAACTTAAGTCTACTTCCTGTATATCCGTGCGTCTGTCCGTACTATACAACACCAGGTTTCGTCTCATTTCTCTCAGCAACAACCCATTGCGGAAGCTTACAATTTTAGCATAACTTTCATTTTTCAAATCCGGTGTCAAATTCATATTTATCTGATCATCTGCCTGTACCACATTCCTTAAATTTTATTGCAATTTTTATCAAATTAAAAGTATTTTTAAAATCTTTATAGCGACCACACAGTGTTGAAATGATATTTCAAAGATACACAATAGAACCTGTGTAATCTGACATGGAATGAAAGAATAGGTTTGTGTCAGAATAGAAAGGCTGTCAGGTTGCAAAGTGTAAACTAAGGGAAAGAAATTAAGTGGCACAATTCTCAGGGTGTCGGGTTGCGCAATGTGCCGAATATGACAGTTTTGATTGTAATTTTATTTCTGTGGAATTCTTTATCACTTATACATGTACTAGTCTTACACGTCTTTACTTTTTATGCATAGATCCTGGATGTTATAGTCTTATAGAAAATGAGAAGAAAGCTGTCACTTCGACCGATCAACAAAATATCACCATTCGGTAGCTTTTTCTTGAATCTTTTTGTTCAATATAACTTTTTAAAAACATGTGACTTAACATATGGTCTATTGGTTTATATCAGAATCAAACTTAGAAGTATAATCAATTTTAATTTTTGTACTTTTTTAGGAATAAATCATGCGGTACTCTGTGCGATGAACGGACTCTTTCAGCGAAGATTTCCATGACCTTTATATATTTACTACTAATGCTTCTTGTGACTTTCGTGACGATCGGCCTTTTTTGGCGATTTCGTAAAAAGGGTTTCCCGGTATGTGTTATCATTTGGTAAAATCAAAGTTTCAAAGTTTTTTCTTCAGTTATCTACATGTATATGTATGCTATTTAGTAATGCAATTTGAATGACTCAAAATAAAAGTGAAAGTCTGAAATTCGTGGGTTTTTATTAACCTGTCAAAAGTTTTATTAAAACCTTTTTATCAGCTTTCTCATAGCATAAATTGTTTTTAAAAAAGGCAAAAACATAGAAAAAAATCCATTTTTTTCATCGTTATCAACTCTGGACACAAATTCTCTATAGCTAATATATCTAAGTTTTCCATTTAAACGCGATAATGTTATGCATAAACACAGTCAATTTTAACAATTAAATGCAAAACTCTTTGCGTTGAAACGCAATTACGAGGGCTGTTCAATAAATAATGTCCTCGGTGCTCAGAAAGAAGCAAAAGACGCTTTTCAATGATTTATTCTTCATGATTTTACTAATTAATCTCTTTAAAAAAAAGTACATGTCCGTAACATTTTTTATCCAATTTCTGATCGTTTGTAGAACTCATTTTTTGGGTATGACCCTTAGTATACTGGAAAATGGCAGATCCAATGATTTCCCGGACTTGTTTCTTTCTTCTGAAAGGTGTTTTTTTTTCCAAGTTTGGAAATAGAAACAAGTCAAAGGTCAAAGATCTGGCGAATATTGTTAATGTGAAAAAAACATTAACTTTCTGTTTATCCCGAAAACCCCTTAACTCTTCAGGGCATGCGGGTTTGGACGCTGTCTTGAAGAAATTCAGTGTAGTGGATTCCTGATTCTGGGTCTTTCCTCTAATAAACCTTTTGATTTTTTGGCCAAAGAAGTGCTTTCTAGACTCCTCCAGAAATTAAACTGTCTCTCCGAATACGATTTTGAACAACAATATCACTAATGTTTAAGAAAATTACATGTAAATCTGTCTTTGTGCTCTTGCATACCTGTGCAGTCGGACATTTAAAGTTTTTTTTTTATAGTTTTTATCAAGTACATCTTATGATAAATTTTGTTTTTAGGGTTTTAAGCAATATATTTAAGTTCCAATATCTGTTTGAAAATTAAACAAACGTGGATAACTACAATTACTGATATTCTAAAATAATTGTTAAGAATTTCGTACACGCTGTCATTTTCACACATTTTTCAAAATATAGGGTGACCTCTGAGTATCAAGCTTTCTTTTACCGTCAAACGTTTCTTAAATAGAGTGTAAACTACCCCCGATGTGATGTCTATCAAATTTGCTATGTGTCTTAAAGTCAATCATACATCATCAAATATTATTTGTTGAAATTTGGCAAACAGTACATAAGTTGTTATAATTTTTGTTGGCAAGGAGGGTACCCATTTTTGATGCCCATTATATAATTTTTTATCATTGAAATCCACCTGCTCTTTGTCTATAAAACAGGCATTGCCTGCTGTAAATGTCACATATTTCAGTAAATAATTCTTTGGGATTTTTAACAAGTTTTAATGGAGCTTTTATTTTCACTCTAGTTTACTGATTCTTTACCATTCATTTATAATGCAGTGTCTCGAAGAGCCCTTGTTTCCCAGCTTCTCACGATGAAACTATGTGATGAGAAGTGGTCACATAAACTGTTATAAATTCATGAAAGATTCAATAATGAGAGAAAGTCAAGTTTATTGTAAAATGATATCTGTAATGTATGTCATATAGTTCAGGACATTATTTATTGTACAGCCCTCGTATCTTTGCATTTATAAAAATCGTTTAAAGATTTTTTTTTCACTGAAACATGTTAAACACAGTGATACTCAAGTTTCAAAATCGGACAACAAACCACTTAAACTTCCATTTAATAGGGTCCGAAATTTTAATGCACTGTTTGGAATTCCCTTTTCAAGTTTAGCTTTTAAAAAAGCTTAGAGAGTCAGCCAGAGGATTTTTCTTCTCTGTGACAATGTTTTAAAAAAATAATAGAGAATATAAGTTCAATAACCCTATAATACTTAACAAAAGACCTTCAACTGACGCGTCAAACACTTCGTGAAATAAATTCATACAACTGTGTTCTCCGCTGCGTAGATCCGATGAGAACTATTCAAATTTCTGTGAGTCTGGTTAAAAAAAATGTTTGGAGCTGTTTACAAAGCTTCTATAAATAAATAAGCATACATGTATTTGGCCTTCCTGTTTGAGTTGAAATTAAATTTACAAAATACCGTGGTGGTAAATATGGATTTCTGGGTTTAATCTTTACTGATTTTTACTGAAATGAAATTAGCAACAGTGATTTACCGCAAAACCACTTCCCAGAATTCCAAAGCACGCAAGCGCATTTGAAGTTCTTCATATCATACCTAGTCAGCCCGTGGGCTGACTAATTATGGAAATATTCAACAGTGCTTAAATACTTATTTAATCTATCTGTTACCATTTAGCTATTAAATTAAGCATGTCAGAGTAATCGTTTTTTCTGAAAAATGTTGATCATATAGTGAAATTGTATAAATTCTTGAAAATCTTCTTTCCTCTCCCTGTATATCAAGTAAAAGAACTACTTTTATGGCTATAACAAACAAGGATAATTCTTCTTAAATCCTGAAGATCAAGGCCCCCGGGTCAGGGATTCTAGGGCAAAGGGAAGAGGCTCTTATAATTCTATTGTGAAAAAGCATTCTTTTATTTATATTTGTTCAATTTCTTCTTTTTTACTTGGCATTTAGGACATGAAGTACAGTCGCGGTTATGATGAGCAAGGGTGCCTCTTCCAAATTTGTACATTTTTAGCCTTTGGGTCAGGGTCTCTGGTTTAGGATGGACATGTCCATCAAATGGGTAAAATGCATGAATTATATAGAAATATTTCTCCTCTTCTCATGGACATTATAATAATAAACAAGCTAAGTGAATGCTTATGATAAGCAAGGGTGTTTCTTCCAAAATTGTCACATGTATTTCCCATAGGTTGGGGGTTTGGTGAAAGCTAAACGGCTCTGTTATATCGTGAAAAACACAATTTCTTGAAAAATATTGTTTTCTACTCTAAGTTATAAATCAGTGAAAGCTGGTGTTAAATTCTTATGGTCAAAATTACTTTTTTTCAGGATCGTCAATTCCATGACCTATCCCTAGCCAAAAAATCTGGTGTGAATATGGGGTTCTAGTGATAATATAATTAAATTGAGTTATTTCTACTGAATAATCGTATCCTTTTCGAACTGTTGTGCAGATGACAAAATGCATCATGACGAACAAGAGCACGTCATGCAATTTTTAAGTGTTTTAAGGGGGGTCCTAATGTAGAGGGGTCTGGTGGAAACTATTACTTCCAACCATTATTCGCGTGCGAGTAGTACCCACAAGTTCCGCGAACTTCTTTAAATTGCGAATATCAATCGACGTCACACAAAAACTTACACAAGCGACATAGAATATTATTTTATAGAATCTTTGCTACTAAACACATAATTATTGTACCCCTGCTTCAAAAATACATCATTATGCATTGATTCATTGTGATACATTGCTATGTAATTAAAACTTACTTATGCTTACCAGGTAACCAATTGTAACACACACAGGCAGACACAGGAAGACAGAGAAGACAGAAAGGGGACAGCATTAATTGCACAACGGACAGAAGAAAAGGTTTCGGTCATAAATCAATCAAGAAATTTATTATGTAATCGAAAAATTTATCCTGATAAATTTATTTACAAATCAGAGTATTTTCAGGAAGGAAAGGTATGTTCCATAAACAAAATAATCCTGTAGATAAAATTTGGAGATAACGAGCCTTAATCAATCTCAAAATTAGCTGAAATAGTACAAATTTTAGCGAAGAAAACACAGGCCTCCTAAAACATCAAATGAATGTATCACCCGGTGTCATGTAAGAGTGAGTAAACCCTACCGCCTGATCACATCCACTGTTAGCTCCCTGTAATTATCAGACAAACAATGAATCTGAAAATACATTTCAATTTTCCGTAAAAATAATGAAATAGAACATTTAATGTAACGTATAGAATGTTTAATGAATAAGAGAAGGTACGATGTAGATGTACAAAAATTGATTTTGTTTTACATTTACATTCTTATCTACTTTAGGGTTACAATTAACACTTTTCATTCCAAGTGTCTTTTAAAATCCAATTTCTTAAAAAAAAAAATACAATATTTTTAAATTAATTACGTATGATTGCTTAAATAGAATACCAATAAATTTTCCATATAATGCATGTGCTTATATTAATTCATACTTGTATTTTTATTGTATTTGTTAAATAAATATTGTGTCTTTTCCCCTTTCCTTAAAGATGCGATAGTCAGTCGACTGATAGATTTTAGAATGAATTTAATCATCAATGTACATGTATTAAAACAAAATCCCGTTCGAGGCGTTGAACTCGAAATACATTACTTTGAACCTACTTTTATATATTTATTTTCAGGAATTGTCGACAATTATGATTGAAACCAACCATTTCTTACAAGAGGACGAGTCCCATAAAGAAAAATACAATGGGCAAACTATCCAATTGACAATCAACTAATCTGATTCCTAACCAGAACTTATATCTAAGGAGAGAAGAAAATTCAAATCATGCATGCCGACGTCAATTTCAAATACCATTTGATTTATGAAAATACCAAGAACAGAGCTATACTGAATTTTGATAAATATATTTATTCAAATCAACTTATCAATTATCCCTATTTTTTTTTCTATAAATAAAGGATTTATATCAAGCATCGACTGTTTTTTTGCATGCGTTACAATCATAAAGCATAATGGGTTCTCTTGATGTGCTCGCTTTGAATACAAACTTATCGTTTCAGGAGACCACAGTCTGAATTAAGAAAAAAATTACAATGAGTGTAAATAGGATTTTTTTAAATTCTGGGTTCGTGTTGTTTATAAACAGCTGTGTAATTTTATAATGGAACGTTTTCATTTCTCAATCTTAAATAAATGTACATGTGTTACACTGACATCATATTTTAATAGCCTTTTCCCATCAATAAATTTTGTGTTTTTGCTGTTGTTGTACAAGCTTGATCACTATCCACTAATCTTTACCTTTTAATAAAACTATTAACATTTTTTTTTCATTCCTTATATTAATTACTCAAGAACTTTACTTCCATATGTGTATTCTTAAATTGTACATTCATGTAACATATTAAAAATTGGGTCTCTTTAATACTTACTCTTTTGTTACAAACGAAATTTACAAGATTTATCAAATATTATGATAAATGACATAGATAAGAAATCCCTGAAATAAAAAGAAATCCATGGTTTTCCTTGGTGCTTAGATATGATACTTTGTTTTGCTATCTTAATTATTCCATACAAATATTTGTACCATTTTTTAACTTTGTAACAGAATCTTATAAAATTCTCTTATTATACTTGGTAAACTTTATTCAAAAACCAATTTAAATGTAAATGTAAGATAAATATTGCTGAATTATCCTTAAAGAAAGGGTAATAAGATATTTTATATTAAAAGGTAATAAATATATGCTTTTGAAATTTGAAACAAAATTTTATAATGTCCCCATCATATTTATTTTTTTGTATAAATCCTTTGCATGCGTCATTTTTGTAGTACTCTATGTATATTGCTTACATTTGTATATTTCATGTCCTTCATTATGATACAAGTTCGCTGTGATATGATTACTTGTAACAATAAATATTCCTCTGTATGATATTGCCGTCTGTGTTGTTCATACCTTTAGGGGTATCATATTATATAACTTTTGTTAATTTGTTTAATGAGTTTGAATCAAGATACTTTTTAAAAGTTCTAAAACGTTTTGTTAAGTTTACTTTAAGTTTCTTCACAAATCTAATTAAATAGCGAAAACAAAACAGTCGCTGTCAATATACTTCTTTTGGCGCTATAATGCATTGAATGTGACCTTTTTGCACTTAAACTTGTGTCTTAATCAAAAATTACTTCTCTGCATTTTACTTTCAATGATTTCATCCAAACACATTTTGTTTCTGATTAAACTGTTTAAAAAATTAAATTATATAATTATATTAATTGTGCTTAAAAAGTTAACTGATTTGCTTAATCTATTATTTGACCTTTCTGCTCTTGCAAAATATGTTTTTCTGGCATTAAAAATTTAACAATTAAGAAAATTTTTCTGAATAATATATTTTTTGAATTATCCTTTGTTTTCTTAAAATTATCTATTTTTATAGCTGCAGAACTGTAGTTTTCCAAAAAGAAAATGTATTGAACCGGTCTGTCAATATATTTCTTTTCGGAGAGCCATGTTCTGCAGCTACATGTATTATTCTATGTCATGTCTATTTTCTTCCTTTTTTCTCCTAAGATCAAAATTGACATCAGACATATTATAATTTAGAACTGTTTTATTTTTTATTCCAACGTATTTGCATCGCCAAACAAAATCAATCAATAAAAACAACATTTTTTGTATTATTTTTATAAGATTCGAGTTTGATCAGTATCTATATAATATTCAGATTATAGAAAAACTTCATCATCGGCTATGGTAAAAATTAATTCTTTTAAAATTTTCTTTCAAAATTATTACCCTTAAAAGAGGAGGCCTCAACGTAGCAAGGGCTGGACAATGGTGTCACTTTATTTTCATTAATATCAAATATCAAATTTTCCACTGTAAATAAAATTCCGATACATTCTCTAGTTCGAATTTTATTGGTCATAAATTGATAAAATTAATTTATTTTACGAGACAAAAGTTAATAACACATGAATGGAAATGTAAATAATTATATAAGACCTGGCCCCGGGATCATGAAATATCTTAAGTTTAATTCAACATTTTTATACTGTACTTAAATTTTACACAAGGCAAACAGATCGAGATTGAAATGTGTTTCAATTTTGATTCATAAAAATGTTAATAGTTGCAAATTTCTAGATCAATTCAATAATTAATAAACATGTTACAGGCATTTGAAATTTTGACTTAAGTCTAAGTCTGTTTCATGATCCTGGGGCCAGATTAAAAATGGCGTGAAATGACCCAGGAAGGAGAGAGAAATGACCTACCGTGAAATGACCTACCGTGAAATGGTAGGGGAGAGAAATAACCTGGGAGAGAAAACATTTTAGAGAGAAATGACCTGACACCGTATTCCCGCCATATTTGGGCATCAGTGTGTCACAATCATATCTACATCCACATTATATATCGAGAAAAACGATAATGTTTATTAACACAACTGAATTGAATTTGATGATTATGACTAATTTTCACATAACGCCTCCATATATCACACTTCATTTTACTAACATGTACCAGTTTTTGTTTGTTTTATTTTGATTATCAGTTCTTTGCTACATATATATGATTTAGTCAAAGTAAAAAGTTATGGACAATGTTAAAGATATTGCAGACAAACAGAATGACAGACAGATATACCGACAAAACAAAAACCGTATACCCTCAAATCTTCGACTACAGGGGCATGATGATGAAATTTTTGTACTCTTATAAGACATGTAGTTTTAGGGAAAAAGACATTTTCATCTTCATAGGTGTTTTCTTTTTCAGAACATTAAACTATAAACTCAAAAACCTATATGATTAAGTTATAACTTAAACTATTTTTATATTTTTTAACAAATCTCAAAGGAATCGACTGAATGTTATTATCGGAATCGTAGATTTACCTTATCAAAGAAATACTTCCCCTCGAATAACTAGATGTTCCAATATATCCATTAATTCAAAATTTGTATATTAAATCAAAAATAACAAAAAATTACGTTTTCATGAAAAAAATATAAATTGTTTGTCAACGAACGGCTTCATTAAATAACATGATTTTTTTTAAAGTAAAAAAAAATCCAAATCCTTCAAACAAAAGATTGATTGAGATTGTAAATTGATGATACATGAATTCATGCATTGCGTCAAGGAAGAATGTTTTAAATTAAAATATTATTACAAAATATTAGTCGTTTTATATATCACAAGAAAATTTATTAACATTTGATCGTTAGTTTCTTCAAGAGAGAAAAAAAAAGATTGATTGATTGTGTATTTAACGTCCCTCTCGAGAATTTTTCACTCATATGGAGACGCCACCATATACCGGTAGAGGGTTGCAAATGTTGTCCTATACTCGGCTCTCGGGACCATTTAGAAGGGATGGATCTTTTTCGTGCAAGCACCTACTGCGACACGGGACCTCAGATTATACGGTCTCATTTGAAGGACAGATCTCCACGTCCCACAGTTGGATTCGAACCTGGGACGTAAGGATCAACTCCTTCGCGACTATAGAGCAGACGCTCTAACCAGTACGCCAAAAGGACGACTTAAGAAGAAGATCATTGTGATAAAAATTAAGAGAATAATCAGTGTAAAAAATCAATCGTCTTAACGGATAATTACGCGAGAGAAATGTAGTAAGAAAAAACTTCTACACAAGTTGAATATGTTGCATTTCAAAAAGAACATAATGAGGGAGAAATTGAGAAGCGACATTGCTTAAAAACATTAATGTTTTGAAGACAAGACTTTAAATAATCAATATCCTGTGAAGAAAATTATTTTAAGTGGAAAAGTTATTGTTTAAAAACGAAATTCCCATGCATATGCATTCATTATGTTTCGTTGGTTTCTATCTATTGATGTTATATTACCGGTATTTCATCTTCAAGAAAAAAAAGCGTATATAAAAAAAAACTTATTACTCTTAGACTCATACTTTAAAATAAATTAGACAAACGTACAGGGATGATTTGGCACAAAATAATAAAAAGTAGCATTTTTGTGAGTTTTTGGATAATTTGTTATAAGGCAAAATGTAGAAACTCGGATATGTATTTATTTAAAAATCCAGAGCTAATTGGAGGTTTCTTTTTTTTATATGAAAAGTATGTTTATATGAAAAGTATGTAACGCTTATGTATGAAAGAATGTTTGAAGCATCCCAATTGCGTGTCTTTCAATTTTCAGAAAGTTCTGATAAAATATGAGTTGGTTAGTTTTTCTAGCAATGTTTATTCCGAGTTTTTGATTATATTAGGGATACTGCATTTGATCAAATTGTATTGCATTGGACAACACTAAATAATGCGCAATTGATTGGAAAGGTAAGAATTTGTTTTATAGAAAAGGTATAGAAAATATGTCTTCTTTTTCTGAAATCCATTTAAACAATTATGTAAACGAGTATTTCAAAGATACTGCACGTAAATGAATATAAACTCTTGCTGCCTTGCATAAATTCGTGATTTTAGTTTAATTGCAATTGATATCCATTTAAATATCCAGATAATTCTAATTTATGTGGTCGTACACTTCAAATTTAAATAATTATCGCTGTATTATTCGAATACATTAAATATCATATAAAATTGATGTTATATACAATCAAAGGAAACGTACAAAATTCTCCAAAATCAAATAACCTTAATATGTGATTTTAGTTCTGAATTATTTAACAACATAATTGGTGAATCATAAATGTTTTCAGATTTAGAGGAAATACACGTGTGCGAAAGAAATTGATATTTTTGTAGGACACAAGGTTTCTTTCAAAACCTTAGCCAAAGGTAAACCAGCGCAGTCAAGCTCGGTGTGGAAAATAACACTGTGTATGAGCCTACGAAAATCACTGATGTCTGGAGGAATGGAGAGAACCAATGCGCTTCGACATCATATGAAATTCAGCCAAGGTTTAAATAGATAAACAGAGTGTATACCAGATCGATCACATTCTGGTTCTACTGGTGATCATTTGAATTGTTTATTTTAAGAATAGATCTAGTAATTTTTGTGGATTCATTTTTAGGCTTATTAAATCAACACACAACATAAAATATTCTCTGATCTGAATTGTAAGAGCAATCGTCTTCATGAATTGCAAAATCTTTCTCATAATGACTTCAAAATGACTTCAAAATCTTTTTACTGATGTAATATATTGTCGTAGTGGGTATGAATTTAACTTTTTATTAGTGTAATGCTCCTTCGAACTAGGCCTATAACAAGTCAAACTGAAATGCAAAAAAAAGATTGTCGAATAAAGATGGTTAAAGATGGTAAGGTATGCATATTTACACAAAACTTGTACGTATAAATTTCTTTTATGTTGATAAATATAACTTTGGATATTTAGGTTGGAATTGTAACTGGTGGGATTCAACCTGTAGGTTGTACGAGATCATGGTTGGAACAACCTCTAACTAGAGTGAAAAGAGACACTGTGGCTAAGGTTTCCAGGAAAGAGACGAAACTATCAGCTGCAGCGATTGTCTTCTTGAACGCTAAGTTCAGCTGCAACTAAAATCAGGAAGCAATCCATGTTTCATTTTAACATGCAAAATAACAGTCATGGTAGTAAAAGAGTAATATTTGTTGAAAAACAACAAATTAACAATCTCAGACCCAAAAAAGCACTGTTGCAACCACTATTGAAATAATTATATCAATAGTGGTTGAGAGTGCATTTCAATAGAAAACATTGATAGTAACCACTATTGAAATACAACCACTATTGAAATAATTATATCAATAGTGG